ACCAGTTTATAAGCTGACCCCCGCTCTTTGATGCTCCAGATGAGACCTCAACAATGCCAAATATAGGGGAATGATCACATCCCCTGATCAGCTGGCAGTGCTCCCACTTATACAACCCAAAATGCCATTGGCCTTCTTGGCAACAAGGACACACTGTTGACTGTGGATGTATTGTTTCTTGACTTTAGCAAAGCTTTTGACACGGTCTCCCACAGTATTCTTGTCAGCAAGTTAAGGAAGTATGGGCTGGATGAATGCACTACAAGGTGGGTAGAAAGCTGGCTAGATTGTCGGGCTCAACGGGTAGTGATCAATGGCTCCATATCTAGTTGGCAGCCGGTATCAAGTGGAGTGCCCCAGGGGTCGGTCCTGGGGCCGGTTTTGTTCAATATCTTCATAAATGATCTGGAGGATGGTGTGGATTGCACTCTCAGCAAATTTGCGGATGATACTAAACTGGGAGGAGTGGTAGATACGCTGGAGGGGAGGGATAGGATACAGAAAGACCTAGACAAATTGGAGGATTGGGCCAAAAGAAATCTGATGAGGTTCAATAAGGATAAGTGCAGGGTCCTGCACTTAGGACGGAAGAACCCAATGCACCGCTACAGACTAGGGACCGAATGGCTAGGCAGCAGTTCTGCGGAAAAGGACCTAGGGGTGACAGTGGACGAGAAGCTGGATATGAGTCAGCAGTGTGCCCTTGTTGCCAAGAAGGCCAATGGCATTTTGGGATGTATAAGTAGGGGCATAGCGAGCAGATCGAGGGACGTGATCGTTCCCCTCTATTCGATATTGGTGAGGCCTCATCTGGAGTACTGTGTCCAGTTTTGGGCCCCACACTTCAAGAAGGATGTGGATAAATTGGAGAGAGTCCAGCGAAGGGCAACAAAAATGATTAGGGGTCTGGAACACATGAGTTATGAGGAGAGGCTGAGGGAGCTGGGATTGTTTAGCCTGCAGAAGAGAAGAATGAGGGGGGATTTGATAGCTGCTTTCAACTACCTGAAAGGGGGTTCCAAAGAGGATGGCTCTAGACTGTTCTCAATGGTAGCAGATGACAGAACGAGGAGTAATGGTCTCAAGTTGCAGTGGGGGAGGTTTAGATTGGATATTAGGAAAAACTTTTTCACTAAGAGGGTGGTGAAACACTGGAATGCGTTACCTAGGGAGGTGGTAGAATCTCCTTCCTTTGAGGTTTTTAAGGTCAGGCTTGACAAAGCCCTGGCTGGGATGATTTAACTGGGAATTGGTCCTGCTTTGAGCAGGGGGTTGGACTAGATGACCTTCTGGGGTCCCTTCCAACCCTGATATTCTATGATTCTATGACTCTCATCCAGCTTCTCGTCCACTGTAATCCCTAGGTCCTTTTCTGCAGAACTGCTGCCTAGCCACTCAGTCCCTAGTTTGTAGCAGTACATGGGATTCTTCCTTCCTAAGTGCAGGACTTTTTACTTGTTCTTGTTGAATCTCATCAGATTTCTTTTGGCCCAATCCTCTAATTCACTATTTTTGAAATCCCATGACCGTGAAATTTACCAAAATGAACCGTGAATTTGGTAGGGTAGATATAGTGTACTTAGATTTTCAGAAAGCCTTTGACAAGGTCCCTCACCAAAGGCTCTTAAGCAAAGTAAGCGGTCGTGGGATAAGAGGGAGGGTCCTCGCATGGATGGGTAACTGGTTAAAAGATAGGAAACAAAGGGTAGGAATAAATGGTCAGTTTTCAGAGTGGAGAGAGGTAAATAGTCATGTCACCCAGTGAGCTATACTGGGACCAGTACTATTCAACATATTCATAAATGACTTGGAAAAAGGGGTAAACAGTGAGGTGACAAAATTTGCAGATGATACAATATTACTCAAGATAGTTAAGTCCAAAGCGGACTGCGAAGAGCTGCAAAGGGATCTTACAAAACTGGGTGGCTGGGCAACAAAATGGCAGATGAAATTTAATGTGGATAAATGCAAAAAAATGCACATTGGAAAACATAATCCCAACTATACATGCAAAATGATGGGGTTTAAATTAGCTGTTATAATTCGAGAAAGAGATCTTGGCGTCATTGTAGAGAGTTCTCTGAAAACATCCACTCAGTGTGCAGCGGCAGGCAAAAAAGCAAACAGAATGTTGGGAATCATTAAGAAAGGGATAGATAATAAGACTGAAAATATCATGTTGCCTCTATATAAATCCATGGTATGGCTACATTTTGAATACGTCGTGAAGATGTGGTCACCCCATTTAAAAAAAAGATATATTGGAATTGAAAAAGATTCAGAGAAGGGCAACAAAAATTATTAGGGTTCTGGAACGGCTTCTGTACAAGGAGAGATTAAAAATACTGGGACTGTACAGCTTGGAAAAGAGACGGCTAAGGAGGGATATGATAGAGGGCTATAGAATCATGACTAGGGCGGAGAAAGTAAATAAGGAAGTATTATTTACCCCTTCGCGTAACACAAGAACCAGGGGTGACCTGATGAAATTAGTAGGCAGCAGATTTAAAACAAAAGGAAGTATTTCTTTACACAACACAGAGTAAACATGTGGAACTCCTTGCCAGAGGATGTTGTGAAGGCCAAAACTATAACAGGGTTCAAAAAAAAATTAGATATATTCATGGATGATTGAATGGCTATTAGCCAGGATGGGCAGGGATGGTGTGCCTAGCCTCTGTTTGCCAGAAGCTGAGAATGGGCAGCAGGGGATGGATCACTTGATGGTTGCCTGTTCTGTTCATTCCCTCTGGGGCGCCTGGCGGTAGCCACTGTTGGGGGATGGGATGCTTGGCTTTATGGACCTTTGGTCTGACCCAGTTTAGCCGTTCTTATATCCTTATGAAAGGATCCAGAAGTGAGTGACAAAGATTATCAAAGGGATGAAATGCAAGTCATATGTGCAAAGCCTGAAGGAATTGGGTATGTTTCAACTGGAAAAGAGATTAAAGGGGGCTATGATAGTGGTCTTCAAATACTTGAAGGGCTGCCATAAAAAAGATGGAGAAAAGTTGTTCTCTCTTGCCACAGAGGGCAGGACAAGAGGCAATGGGGTCAAACCACAGTACAGCAGATTAGATTAAATCTCAGGAAAAGCTTCCTAACTGTAAGAACAGTAGGACAACGGAACAGACGCCTAGGGAGCTTGTGGAAGCTTCTTCACTGGAGGTTTTCAAAAGGAGGCTAGAGAGCCAGCTGTCTTGGATGGCTTAAACAGCAAATCCTGCATCTTGGCAGGAGGTTAGATTAGATTACCTTTGCAGTCCCTTCTAACCCTCTGAGTCTATGATCTAATCAAGCTTGCTGAATGGGCAACGGGATGGCAGATTGAAGAGAAAACTTGAACTGGTCATAAAGCAACAGGGTTCTAAATTAACTTATCAATTCAGGAAAGAGACTGGGGCACCACTATGAACAACTCAGTGCTCTTGCCTTCTGAATATGCAGCTGCAGTGAAAAAAAGCGCAAACAATGTTAAAATGAAAATGGAATGGAGAATTACACAGAGAATATAATGCCACTATAGAAATCAATGGCTTGCCTTCATTTAGAATATACTGTGTGGTATCAGTCACTCTGTCTCTTAAAGGATATCGCGGCGGGGTAGAGGAGGTTCAGAGAAGGACAGCGAGAATGACTAGGCACTTTGAAAAGCTCTTACGTGAGATTGAAAAGATTGTTTGTTTGTTTAATTTCAGAAGGGACATGATAGAAATATGTAAAATAATGGTCTACAGAAAGTAGATTTGGGAGCTTCTGTTTTCTCTGGCTCATAACAGAAGAACAAAGTGACTTTCAATGGAACTGAAAGGTGGCAAATTTAAACTGGATCTCACTGCCATTGGAAGTCACTGAATGTAAGAAAATCAGAAGTATTCAAAGAGGGATTGGACATGTACATGGGTTAGGAGACTATATAGAATTGTTATAATTAATAGCTTTGAAGGGTTAGTAAGTCTCATCTTTTAGGTCTTAAGCCATTCTCTAACTGTTAGCGATCAGGGTGAGACGTAACATGGGGACAGATTGTCTCACGTTGTCCTGATGCAGGTTCTTGCACCTTCCTCTGAAGCTTCTGGTGGTCGCTACTGCTAGAGACAGGACACTGGACTAGACAGACCTTGAGCCTGATCCAGTGTAGCAATTTCTAAAGGTCTGTTGTAGAGTGCTTCAAGGAAGCATGGTGCATAAAAGAAGATTTTAAATCAGTTTCACAAGGGGCGGGTGGGAGAGTTCCATTATAAGGGAGTGAAGGGGAAGGGAAATTTGGCTAGTTGCATGACTGGAGAAAGAGGTTAAATCTTCCTTTGAATTAGAAGATGTTCACCACCATAGGGAGGCAGGTTGTCAAGCTATAGATAAATCATTGGTTTGTTTTGGTATGATTTCTGTGCCACTAAGTACAGAAGAACCCCATTTATCCGTGACTCTGTTTTCTGGCTCTCTGTATTAACCGAACCAGGTGACGGGGCTCAGACTGTCAGCCCCGGGCAGGGCGGGTGGCCCGACTCTCTTGCTGTACAACAACTAGGGGGTTGTATTTTTAGTTAAGTAGATAAGAAGGGGGGGGGTAAGTTTTTTAATGCTTTTTGAAGAGGGGTCCGCTAGTTTAAAAGTAACTCCGCATCTTTAAATAACAGATAGAAGGCTCTTTGCCCATTCTCCTGATTATCTGAATTTTTATTATCCAGTCTGGCCCTGGTCCCAGTTAGATTGGGTAAATGGGGTTCTTCTGTATGTAAATGTGGTGTTGGTCTTGCTGGGAGGTTAGTAAACCAGATGTGACAGATATTGCAGTTGGCAGTTTTGTTTCACTCTCGTTTTCAAATGACATGGCATTAACTTTGTACGTGAATTGCCAGAAACTCTTAGAGCTTTGTAAGTATTTTGGGAGAGCATGGGTACATACTTTCTCAATTACACATTAACTTTATGGTAGTTTTCATGTTCTTTAGCATGGATTTCAGCATGCTAATTTGTTTTTTTTTTCCCCTCTTTAGCCCCTGGCGGATAGTAGATGACTGTGGTGGTGCCTTCACAATGGGAGCCATAGGTGGTGGCATCTTCCAGGCTATCAAAGGGTTCAGAAATTCCCCAGTGGTGAGTAAAATAATTTCTTGTAGATAAACTAACAGTAGCTTTGCTTCCCTTTCCTTCCAACAATAAACGTGTGGGAGTGACCTAAGAGGAGGAAATCTCCATGAAGTTCTCTTCATGGAGGCTTGTCCCCAGTCATCGTATTGAGAGGCAGGGCAGAACAGGTTGCAGGCCAGGAGAATAAACCTCTCAGTTGCCGACGATCCACATGGATTCCAGGTCCATCTGTGTAGAAGCCTTGTGCCTCTACACCAGCTCACTGCCTTCTGCATGTTCCCTGTGACTTATACAGCTGGTGGCAGCCCCAGGGAAATCTCTTTAAGAGACATCTTCCTATAAGGGTGCCTAGAAAATCACTGGGATTCACAAAGCCTGGGTTAGGTGCTTATGATTTCTATACAGTGAGTGGAGGGAGATAAGCACCTAAGAATGGGATTCACGAAAGCCAGTCTGCTAGGCCAGTGTTTCCCAAACAGTGGGTCCTGGGAAGGTTCTAGATGGATTGCCATGTCCAGGGCCAGATTAACTTGTCACTGGGCCTTGGCAGACATATACTTCTCCTGACGTGTGTGTATGTGTGTGAAGAACAAGCCCACCCCTCACTCACCTTGCAGCAGTGGCTACTGTCCCGTCCCAGGCATTGTGATCTGGTGCCTGGGGTTGCAGTGCTACTCAGATTTGGCCCAGCTGCCCCTCCTTCATCAGCCAAACTAAGTGATACTCTGTCCCTCAGCACCAGGTCGCAAGGCCGAGAGCAGGGAGCTGGACTGAGCCCAGTGGAAGAGGAAGTGTCGCTGTGGGGTGAACATAGGGCAGGCTTGCTCTCCTGGCCCAAAGCCTCCTCTCCACACTTGGCCAGGATTAGGCTTGCAGTGCCAGGGTGGAGGATGTGTATATGTAATGGTGGGTTGCAAAAAAAGACCCAAAATGTTTGGGAGCACTGGGTTAGGACACTCACCGAAGAGGTGGCTGATGCCTGTTTAAACCCCTTCTCCTCATCGAGTGATGGGGGGACTTGAATCAAGGATCTCCCACATCCAGGGTGAGTACTGGACCAAAAGTTACAAGGTAGCTCCTCCTTCCCTTTCGCGCCCGCTCTCCTCAATCCTCCCAACTATTTTGTGTGGAGTTTGGCATACACTGGGCACACCTACCAGATCAGGACACACAAGCAAGTTAGGCAGAGGAGCACTTACCTTCCCCTGGTTTGTGAATTGCACTGGACCGTAGGCATCCAGATGCCTAGAGTGAAGCAGTAGTTTGCATGCCCAGACACAGAAACTTAGACACCTGCAAAAACTTTGACTCCAGGTGAGTTTGGGCATCTACAAGGTGTGGCAGCAGCTGAGTTGGGGTTTTATGAGTACAGGTTCCCCCTAAATCTTGGACTTAGGTGCCTAATTCCCTTTGTGAATCTAACCCGTAGAGTTCTGTTAAGGTTAACATAAAAACATAAGAACAGCCCTAGTGGGTCAGACCAATGGTCCATCTAGCCCAGTATCCCATCTTCCAACAGTGGCCAACAGCATTTGCTTCAGAGGGAATAAATAGAACAGGCAATCATCGAGTGATCCATCCCCTGTCGTCCACTCCAACTTCTGGCAAACAGAAGCTAAGGGCACCCAGAGCATGGTGTTGCATCCCTGACCATCCTGGGTAATAGTCATTGATGGACCTATCATCCAGGAACTTCTCTAGGTTTTTTGTTTTTTTGGGGGATCCTGACATAGTTTTGGCCTTCACAACATCCCCTGGCAATGAGTCCCACAGGTTGTCTGTGTGTTGTGTGTGAAGAAGTATTTCCTTTTGTTGGTTTTAAACCTGTTGCCTGTTAATTTCATTTGGTGACTCCTAGTTCTTGTGTTATGAGGAGGAGTAAATAACATTTCCTTATTCGCTTTCTCCACACTGGTCATGATTTTATAGACCTCTATCATATCTCCCCTTTTAGTTATCTCTTTTTCCAAGCTGAAAAATCTGTCTTTTTAATCTCTTCTCATATGGAAGCTGTTCCATGCCCCTAATCATTTTTGATGCTCTTCTCTGTACCTTTTCCATTTTTAATATATCTCTTTTGAGATGGGTTTCAGAGTAACAGCCGTGTTAGTCTGTATTCGCAAAAAAGAAAAGGAGTACTTGTGGCACCTTAGAGACTAACCAATTTATTTGAGCATAAGCTTTCGTGAGCTACAGCTCACTTCATCGGATAGTCTCTAAGGTGCCACAAGTACTCCTTATCTTTTGAGATGGGGTGACAAGAACTGAATGCAGTGTTCAAGATGTGGGCATACCATTGATTTATAAGGAGACACTATGATTTTTACTTTCTTATTATCTACGTCTTTCCTAGTGGTTCCCAACATTCTTTTGCTTTTTTGACTGCCCTGCACATTGAGGGAATGTTTTCAGAGAACTATTCACAGAATCATAGAATATCAGGATTGCAAGGGACCTCAGGAGGTCATCTAGTCCAACTTCCTGCTCAAAGCAGGACCATTCCCCAATTAAATCATCCCAGCCAGGGCTTTGTCAAGCCAGGCCTTAAAAACCTCTAAGGAAGGAGATTCTACCACCTCCCTAGGTAACCCATTCCAGTGCTTCACCACCCTCCTAGTGAAAAAGTTTTTCCAAATATCCAACCTAATCCTCCCCCACTGCAACTTGAGACCATTACTCCTTGTTCTTTCATTTGATACCACTGAGAACAGTCTAGATCCATCCTCTTTGGAACCCCCTTTCAGGTAGTCAAAAGCAGCTATCAAATCCCCCCTCACTCATCTCTTTTGCAGAATAAATAATCCCAGTTCCTTCAGCCTCTCCTCATAAATCATGTGTTCCAGCCCCCTAATCATTTTTGTTGCCCTCCGCTGGACTCTTTCCAGTTTTTCCACATCCTTCTTGTAGTGTGGGGCCCAAAACTGGACACAGTACTCCAGATGAGGTCTCACCAATGCTGAATAGAGGGGAACGATTACGTCCCTCGATCTGCTGGCAATGCCCCTACTTATACAGCCCAAAATGCCGTTAGCCTTCGTGGCAACAAGGGCACACTGTTGACTCATATCCAGCTTCTCGTCCACTGTAACCCCTAGGTCCTTTTCTGCAGAACTGCTGCCTAGTCGCTTGGTCCCTGGTTTGTAGCAGTGCATGGGATTATTCCGTCCTAAGTGCAGGACTCTGAACTGGTCCTTGTTGAAGCTCATCAGATTTTTTTTTGGTCCAATCCTCCAATTTGTCTAGGTCCCTCTGTATCCTATCCCTATCCTCCAGCGTATCTACCACTCCTCCCAGTTTAGTGTCATCTGCAAAATTGTGAGGGTGCAATCCACACCATCCTCCAGATCATTAATGAAGATATTGAACAAAATCGGCCCCAGGACCGACCCCTGGGGCACTCCGCTTGATACTGCCTGCCAACTAGACATGGAGCCGTTGATCACTACCCGATGAGCCCAATGATCTAGCCAACTTTCTATCCACCTGATAGTCCATTCATCCAGCCCATGCTTCTCTAACTTGCTGGCAAGAATATTGTGGGAGACCATATCAAAAGCTTTGCTAAAGTCAAGGAATAACATGTCCACTGCTTTCTCCTCATCCACAGAGGCAGTTATCTCGTCATAGAAGGCAATTAGGTTAGTCAGGCACGATTTGCCCTTGGTGAATCCATGCTGACTGTTCCTGATCACTTTCCTCTCCTCTAAGTGCTTGAGAATTGATTCCTTGAGGACCTGCTCCATGATTTCTCCAGGGGCTGAGGTGAGGCTGACTAGCCTGTAGTTCCCTGGATCCTCCTCCCCTTTTTTAAAGATGGGCACTACATTAGCCTTTTTCCAGTCATCCGGGATCTCCCCTGATCACCACGAGTTTTCAAAGATAATGGCCAATGGCTCTGCAATCACATCAGCCAACTCCTTTAGCACCCTCGGGTGCAGGACATCCGGCCCCATGGACTTGTGCTCGTCCAGCTTTTCTAAATAGTCCTGACCTACTTCTTTTTCCACAGGGGGCTGGTCACCTCCTCCCCATGCTGTGCTGCCCAGTGCAGCAGTCTGTGAGCTGACCTTGTTTGTGAAGACAGAGGCAAAAAAAGCATTGAGTACTTCAGCTTTTTCCACATCCTCTGTCACTAGGTTGCCTCCCCCATTCAGTAAGGGGCCCACACTTTCCTTGACCCCCACCTTGTTGCTAACATACCTGAAGAAACCCTTCTTGTTACTCTGAACATCCCTTGCTAGTTGCAACTCCAAGTGTGATTTGGCCTTCCTGATTTCACTCCTGCATGCCTGAGCAATATTTTTATACTCCTCCCTGGTCATTTGTCCAATCTTCCACTTCTTGTAAGCTTCTTTTTTGTGTTTTAAGATCCGCAAGGATGTCACTGTTATATTCAGAATGACTCCAAGATCTTTCTTGAGTGGTAACAGCTAATTTAGACCCCGTCATTTTGTATGTATAGTTGGGATTTTGTATGTTTTCCAGTGTGCATTACTTTGCATTTATCAACACTGAATTTCATCTGCCATTTTGTTGCCCAGTCACTCAGTTTTGTGAGATCTCTTGGTAGCTCTTTGCAGTCTGCCTTGGACTTAACTATCCTGAGTAATTTTGTATCATCTGCAAATTTTGCCACCTCACTGTTTCCCCCATCTTCCAGATCATTTATAAAGATGTTGGACAGCACTGGTGCCAGTACAGATCCCTCGAGGACACCGTTATTTACCTCTCTCCATTCTGGAAAGGTTATTGATCTTAAAAGTTGAATTCCTCTCTGTTCTGTGCGGATGCGAAAGTGACACCATCATCTAAAAAATCCCTCTAGATTTTTTTAAGAGTTTAACGTAGTTTCATTTGCTGCACTTTTTCAGTTCTGTTAAATTAGGGGATAAAACCATATTTTCATGTTTTAAAAAATATTTTTCTCTTCATTGTTGCTGTGTGAAAGACACAGAAATGAGGAAAACTGATTATACAAGAGAAACAAAAATTCTGTAGGAGAAATAGTAAAACTAACTATAGAAAAATTGCTGTAAAAATGTACAAAAGTAAAACTGAAAAATGAAATATTTTCAATGATCTCTTTCTAGTATAGCAATCTTGGGAGTTACTTGTAACACTAATAGATAATATATTTTCAGACAGAAGTGTAATACGTTTTCCTTTAACGTTTCCATGGCAATCTCCCCTAAAAGTTGGTTTCCCTAGCATATGTGGATGAAATTTCCTCTCTGTTCACTTGTGTGCATTATGTTGTGCGGCAATTATCTGTTGACATGCTTCCACTCTGAATTTAATTGGTTTTCTGCGTATATACTTTGTGAAGCAATTTGGGATGATTCAGGAGAAAAGGAATGACAGTAGAACCTCAGAGTTATGAACACCTCGGGAGGTTGTTCATAACTCTGAAATGGTTGTAACACTGATCAAGACATTATGGTTCTTTCAAAAGTTTATTACTGAACATTGACTTAATACAGCTTTGAAACTTTACTCTGCAGAAGAAAAATACTGCTTTCCCTTTATTTTTATTTTTTGTAGAGTACGTTTAACACTATTTCCTTTTTTTTTTTTTTTTTGGTCTTGTCTCTGCTGCTGTCTGATTGTGTACTTCCAATTCCAAATGAGGAGTGTAGTTAAATGATCAGTTCGTAACTCTGGTGTTTTGTACCTCTGAGGTTCTACTGTATATAAATGTAAAATACTATCGTGTAATGTTTGTTTTTTATGTGGTAAAAACATTACTTAGGGTATGGCTACACTTGCAGATGTAGAGCGCTTTGAGTTAAACCAGCCTTCGTAGAGCACAGTAGGGAAAGCGCTGCAGTCTGTCCACACTTCAAGCGCACCGGTGTGGCCACATTTGCCGCACTTGGTAGCGGTGCATTATGGGCAGCTATCCCAGCATGCAGTTGACTGCAACATGCTTTTTAAATCGGGGTGGGGGGAGTGTGTTGTGTGTATGTGGGGGGAGAGAGAGTGGGTTTTTGGGGGGCTGAAAGCATGTCAGCCTGCTTTCTTGTAAGTTCAGATAGCAGCAGGCCCCCCTCCTCCCCGCCCCTCTCTCTCTCTCTCGTACAGCATTCCACAGGAACGGCTTGCTTTGTCTTGGTGCTGGCTGTCAGAAACGGAGCTTTCAAAGGGCATATCCGCATTCCTAGGCAAGCTCAAAACAATGAGAAGAGTGACCACCTGACTTAAGGGGGTTATGGGACGTTTCCGGAGGCTGATCAGAGAGCAGTAATGCAACACCTCGTTCACACTGATGGCCAGGCGTTTCAGCCACTACACAACAAACATTAATCTTCTCGCGGAGGTGGAGTACCAGAAGTGCTCTAGCCGTGGAGTCAGAGCGCTCTACGCGCCTTGCCAGTGTGAATGGGGAGTGAGCTAGGGCACCTGGGGCCACTTTAATGTGCTCTAACTCACAAGTGTAGCCAAGGCCTTAGTGTCTTGGTTTAAAAAAAAAATAAAGAAAGAAAATATAAGTGGTCCAGCAATTAGACTTTACATCATCACAGAAAATTATAAATAACTGATTTGTGTAGTTTACAGGTGTTATAATTACATACTAAATATTAACTGAAAATAAAAATGTCAGAAAGCATTGATAACTATATGGATTAAAAACAATTCCACTTTGTCAGTTTATGTATAATACAGTATGAAATGGCTGTTTTTATAAATTCCTGAGAAAAACAGATTTATAATGAAAGAACTTCCAGATGTTTAGTAATAACTATAACTGGGTCTGAAAGGGTGCAATTTAATTAGCTGTAAAACTTAAATATGTTTAGTTTTGTTTCATTCTGATTGTTGTCTTCGGTTTATTTTAGGGTGTAAACCACCGGTTGCGGGGAAGTTTGACAGCTGTTAAAACCAGAGCACCACTCTTGGGAGGTAATTGCAGTCTGTACACTGAAGCGTGTATTCTTAAGCCTTTGTCCAGTTTTAAAATAGAACTTCAAGGGAACTGAACAGCTCAGGGGATTTGGATGGGATTCAGAACTTTTCACCTCTAAGGACTTAGATCAGAGGTGAGCAAACTATGGCCCGCAGGACCCTCCTGTCCGGCCCCTGAGCTCCTGGCCCAGGAGGCTCGCCCCCGACCCTCCCCTGCTGTCCCCAGACCCTTGCAGCCTCGGCCACGCTGCGCTGCTGGCACAATGCTCTGGGTGGCCGAGCAGCGCAGCTGCAGAGCTGTGGCCTGACCCGGCGCTCTGGGCTGTGCGGCTGTAGGGCCACTGGTGCTCCAGGCAGCGCGTTAAGGGGGCAGGGGGGGTTGGATAGAGGGCAGGGGAGCTGGGGGTGGGGGGCAGGGGGCGAGGGTGTGGATAGGGGTCGGGGCAGTCAGAGGGCAGGGAACAGGAAGGTTGGATGGGGCAGGGGTCCTGGGGGGGCAGTCAGGAAGGAGAGGGGGGTTGGATGGGGCGGCAGGGGGCAGTCAGGGGTGGGAGGTTCAGGGGTGGTCAGGGGACAGGGAAAAGGGGGTGGTGGATGGGGTAGGAGTCCCGGGGAAGCTGTTAGGGGACTGGGCGGGGGGGGGAATGGGGCAGGAGTCTTGGGGAAGCCATCAGGGGGCGAGAAGTGGGGGGGTCGGATAGGAGGTGGGGGCCGGCCATGCCTGGCTGTTTGGGGAGAGACAGCCTCCCCTAACCAGCCTTCCATACAATTTTGGAAACCCGATGTGGCCCTTAGGCCAAAAAGTTTGCTCGCCCCTGAACTAGATCTACAAAAGCACCTAACTGCCACTTGAAGCACTTAAGTCAAAATTTAGACCCTCAATACTCCCACTCTGTTGTCATCTAACCCTTCAGGTGCCTACATTTCTGCTGGTAATGTGCACATTCACCTGTTCACACCTAAGCCCCAGTGAGATTTCCAAAATAGGTGTTTGCCCACTTACCCTGCCTGTGGAGCCCGATCCAGTAGGAGTGCTCAAAGGCCACCTTAAAGCACGTCTAGTGCAGTGGTCTTCCAAGTGGGGTGCTCAAGACTATCCCTGGGGGTGCGCGGCAGGAGGAGCGCTGGCAGCAGCTCGGCTCTCCCCGCTCCGTCCTCGGTGGCCCGCCGGCAGCAGCTCTCTCTTTTTTTTTTGCTTCCCTAGAGCTGGCCCTGGGGGTGCGTGATTCAAAAAGTTTGGAGACCCCGGTCTAGTGGATTGGGCCAGAGAGAAAGTGAGAGTGACTCTCTAGGGCCCAGTGATTAGGGAACTCCTCTAAGGTATGTGAGAGTGAGGTTGAAGTCCCTATTCCAATGAATATTTAATTATTTTATACAAAGTTGACCAGTTTTAACAGGAACCAGAGAGCGAAACCTATCCCAGGATACCCCACAGCCAGTGATTAGGGCACTCGCTTGGGAAGTGAGAGACTGAACTTCGAGACCCTGCTCCTCTCTGGGAATTTGAACCTGGGTCTCCTGCAGCTTGCGTGCATGCACTGATCACAGAACTATAGGGAATGAGGCGATAGCTGCTGCCACCTTCTCTTTCTCCTCCTGCTCTTGGCTAGAAAGGACTGACCTAGCTTTGGTGCCTAACTCCAGGAGAGGGTTCATGGCTGTGAATCTCTTCCTCTGGCCTGAAGTTAGGCGCCTAAGTCCCTTTAAAGGGCAGGGCTTATACCACGCCCTTCCTTGCCATTCATTACTGAGTTGGAAATGGAATGGAGAGGATGCTTATAAAATTTGTGTATGACACCAAGCTGGGAGAAGTTGCTAGCACTTTGGAGAACATGATTAGAATTCAAAATTACCTTGACAAATTGGAGAACTAGTCTCAAATCAGCAAGGTGAAAGTCAATAAAGACAGGTACAGACAGGAGAGTAGCAGAATACGGACCCTGGACTTCAGAAAAGCAGACATTGACTCCCTCAGCTTGGCTTAATAGTGAAATCCTTGCTGATCTTAAACACAAAAAAGAAGCTTACAAGAAGTGGAAGATTGGACAAATGACCAGGGAGGAGTATAAAAATATTGCTCAGGCATGCAGGAGCGAAATCAGGAAGGCCAAATCACACTTGGAATTGCAACTAGCAAAGGATGTTCAGAGTAAGAAGAAGAGTTTCTTCAGGTATATTATCAACAAAAAGAAGGTTAAGGAATGTGGGCCCCTTACTGAATGGGGGAGGCAACCTAGTGACAGAGGATGTGGAAAAAGCTGAAGTACTCAATGCTTTTTTTTGCCTTTGTCTTCACGAACAAGATCACCTCACAGACTACTGCACTGGGTAGCACAGTATGGGGAGGAGGTGACCAGCCCTCTGTGGAGAAAGAAGTGGTTCAGGACTATTTAGAAAAGCTGGACGAGCACAAGTCCATGGGGCCGGATGTGCTGCATCCGAGAGTGCTAAAGGAGTTGGCGGATGTGATTGCAGAGCCATTGGCCATTATCTTTGAAAACTCGTGGTGATCAGGGGAGATCCCGGATGACTGGAAAAAGGCTAATATAGTGCCCATCTTTAAAAAAGGGAAGGAGGAGGATCTGTGGAACTACAGGCAGTCAGCCTCACCTCAGTCCCTGGAAAAATCATGGAGCAGGTCCTCAAGGAATCAATTCTGAAGCACTTAGAGGAGACGAAAGTGATCAGGAACAGTCAGCATGGATTCACCAAGGGCAAGTCATGCCTGACTAATCTAATTGCCCTCTATGACGAGATAACTGGCTCTGTGGATGAGGAGAAAGCAGTGGACGTGTTATTCCTTGACTTTAGCAAAGCTTTTGATATGGTCTCCCACAGTATTCTTGCCAGCAAGTTAAAGAAGTATGGGCTGGATGAATGGACTATCAGGGGGATAGAAAGCCGGCTAGATCATTGGGCAGTGATCAATGGCTCCATGTCTAGTTGACAGGCAGTATCAAGTTGAGTGCCCCAAGGGTCAGGCCTGGGGCTGGTTTTGTTCAATATCTTCATTAATGATCTGGAGGATGGCATGGATGGCACCCTCACAATTTTGGAAATGATACTAATCTGGGACGAGTGGTAGATACGCTGGAGGGTAGGGATAGGACACAGAGGGACCTAGTCAAATTAGAGGATTGGGCCAAAAAGAAATCTGATGAAGTGCAGAGTCCTGCACTTAGGACGGAATAATCCCATGCACTGCTACAGACTAGGGACCGAGTGACTACGCAGCAGTTCTGCAGAAAAGAACCTAGGGGTTACAGAGGATGAGAGCTGGATATGAGTCAACAGTGTGCCCTTGTTGCCAAGAAGGCAAACAGCATTTTGGGCTGTATAAGTAGGGGCATTGCCAGCAGATCGAGGGACGTGATCATTCCCCTCTATTCGGCATTAGTGAGGCCTCATCTGGAATACTGTGTCCAGTTTTGGGCCCCACACTATAAGAAGGATGTGGAAAAGTTGGAAAGCGTCCAGTGGAGGGCAACAAAAATGATTAGGGGACTGGAGCACGTGACTTATGAGGAGAGGCTGAAGGAACTGGGATTATTTAGTCTGCAGAAGAAAAGAATGAGGGGGGATTTGATAGCTGCTTTCAACTACCTGAAAGGGGGTTCCAAAGATGATGGATCTAGCCTGTTCTCAGTGGTAGCAGATGACAGAACAAGGAGTTATGATCTGAAGATGCAGTGGGGGAGGTTTAGGTTGGATATTTTCACTAGGAGGGTGGTGAAGCACTGGAATGGGTTACCTAGGGAGGTGGTGGAATCTCCTTCCTTAGATATTTTTAAGGTCAGGCTTGACAAAGCCCTGTCTGAGATGATTTAGTTGCTTTGAGCAGGGGGTTGGACTAGATGACCTCCTGAGGTCCCTTCCAACCCTGACATTCTATGATACAAAGTACTACACTACAAAATGGGAAATAACTGACTAGGTTATCATACTGCTGAAAAGGATCTGGGGGTTATAGTCTATCATAAATTGAATATGAGTCAACCTTGAGATGCAGTTGTGAAGTTTCAGTGGTAGCTGTGTTAGTCTGTATCAGCAAAAAAAACCAAAACAATTTGTTGTTCTGGTGTGTTATTAACAAGAGTGTTGTATGTAAGACACAGGAGATAATTGTCCTGCTATATTTAGCCCTGGCGAGGCCTCAGCTGGAATACTGTGTGCCGGTTCTGGCTGCCACACTTTACAAAAGATATGGATAAGTTGAAGAGAATCCAGAAGAAAGCAACAAACATGATAAAAGATTTAGAAAACTGCACCTGTGAGGAAAGGTTAAAAAAAATTGGGTATGTTTATTGAGAAAAGAAGACCCAAGAAGAACCTGGTAAGTCTTCACATGTGTTAAGGGCTGTTATAAAGAAGACAGTGATCACTTCTCCATGGCCTCTGGAGGTAGGTCAAGAAGTAATTATGTTAATCTGCAGCAAGGGAGAATTAGGTTAAATATTAGGGAAAAACTTTCTAACGACGAGGCTAGCTAAGCACTGGACCAGGCTTCCAAGCGAGGTTTTGAAGAACAGATTAGGCAAACCCCTGTCAGGGATGATCTAAATTTACTTGGTCCTACCTCAGCTTGGGAGGCTGGACTAGATGAGTCCCTTCTAGCTTTACATTTCTCTGATTTCCTATTGGCTATTTTAGGCGGCTCCCCACTCAGTCCGCTGGCTTTTGTAAATCCACTTCTTAGGTGCCTAACTCTCCACATGCATTGTATAGGGAGCCTGGGCACCTAACTTGGGGCTATGGATTCCACTAAGTGTCAGGGCACCTAAAGTTAGGCACTGCAATGCTGAGCCTGAATCCTCTTTTTGGATCTACCCCTAACTGGTTATCTGACCTACAGTATGTTGTTTTTGTAAAAGGAGTCAGAGGTCTCAGTGGACAGCTATCCAAAATCACAACATTATTACCCATAATTGGTCTCTTGATGGCTGTTTCAGTCCAGGATTTAGTCAAAATGAAGCTTTAACAACTCTATCACCCTTAAAGGTGATTGGGTAATAAGGAATACGTGAAGTTATATTCTTTGTCTCGCTGTTGCTATTCTAATAGCAAGTTGTATGTTCTGGATAATTTTATTTCAAGAAAGAAAAAGGAAGGAATATTGACTAGACCTTGCAAGAGGGAAAAATTGAAGGAGGAAAATGCATTGGTGGCAGCAGACTCCTTGAAGAGCACAGAAATTGGTATTGCTGGCTGGAGAAGCTATTGTTGCTGTTCATCGTGCCCCTCTTAAAATAGAGGACTTACGTCTCCTGTTTTTATTTTCTGGCGTTATGCTTTTACAAGCATGAAAGCACTTTAAAATAAAGAGGATTGCAAGAAAATTTACTTTGTGAGAAGTGCATCTTACCATCTATGAACTAGATTTTTGTTAACATTTTTTTATTTTTTTTTAAATGACAAAAACAGTATTGAAATAAGATACTAAACTGTCCTACAGCATTTGTTTATGAGTTATGATTTTTATGTATTAGCAGGAGTGCTGTAAGCAAGACATGAGAAGTAATTCTTCTGCTCTACTCTGCGCTGATGAGGCCTCAACTGGAGTATTGTGTCCAGTTCTGGGTGCCACATTTCAGGAATGATGTGGACAAATTAGAGAAAGTCCAGAGAACAGCAACAAAAATGATTAAAGATCTAGAAAATATGACCTTTGAGGGAAGATTGAAAAAATTGGATTTGTTTAGTCTGGAGAAGAGAAGACGGGGGGGTGCATGATAACAACTTTCAAGTACATAAAAGTTTGTTACAAGGAGGAGGGAGAAAAATTTGTTCTCTTTAACCTCTGAGGATAGGACAAGAAGCAGCAAGGCTGGTTTAAGTTGGACATTAGGAAAAACTTCCTAACTGTCAGCACTGGAATAAATTGTCTAGGAAGGCTATGAAATCTCTGTCATTGGAGATTTTTAAGAGCAGGCTAGACTAATACCTGTCAGGGATGGTCTAGGTTAGTGGTCTCCAACCTTTTTACGCCCAAGATCACTTTTTGAATCTAAGGGCAACCCAGGATCTATCCTGCCCCTTCCCCGAGGCGCCGCCCCCCCCCCCCGGTTGCTTGCTCGCTTTCCCCCACCCTCACTCAATGGCGTGGGGCATGGGGTGCAGGCTCTGGACTGGGGTCGAGGAGTTCATTGTGTGGGAGGGGGCTCTGGCCTGAGCCTGGGGCAGGGGGTTGGGGTGCAGGAGGGAGTGAGGGGTACAAGCTCTAGGAGGGAGTTTGGGTGCAGGAGGGGGGTGGGGCAGAGTGTGGGGGTGCAGGAAGGGGTATGGAGTGCTGTCTCCGGGAGGTGGCTCAGGGATGGGATTTGGGGTGCGGCCTACCGCCGGGCACCACTTAACTCTGGTGGCTCCCAGTCGGCAGCGGGCACAGCGAGGCTAAGGCAGGCTCCCTGCCTACCCCAGCCCCACACTGTTCCTGGAAGGGGCCAGTGTGCCCCTGCACGATGCCCTTCTCTGCAAGCACAGCCCCCCACAGCTCTCCTGGCCAATGGGAGCTGTTGGGGTGGTGCTTGCAGGTAGGCACAGCATGCAGAGGGAGACCTCTGTCCTCCCCGGGGCCGGAGGGCTGCACTGGTTGCATCTGGGAGTGGCGTGGGGCTGGGATAGGCAGGGAGTCTGCCTTAGCGGCAGCCATGCTGCACTGCCAGACATCGCAATCAACTGGGAGATCCTCTAGGATTGACCGGTTGATAACCACTGGTATAGATAATACTTACCCGTGACTTGAGTGCAGGGGATTGGACTAGAAGACCTCTTGAGATCCCTTCCAGTCCTACACTTCTATGATGGTTCCATTGGCAGAAGAAGAAAAACCTTTAAACTGTTAAATTTATAGTTAAATACTAAGGATCCTCTGATCATTAAGCCAGCATTAGTAGGATGGAAACTCCTTTACAATCACTGATATTTGGGAGGCATTTTGTTAGCTAGTGCAAAACAGTAAATATTATTGCCCACTTTATTGGGTGAGTAAGGATATTTCCTGAATTTGTTTATGTAAAGTTTTAATCTAGTTTTTGAGAGTTTGGGTATATTTTAAGGCTCAAAAGTAAGCTTCCTAAAATATAGCAACACAAAACTTTATAATGTGGCTGGAGTATAACTTTGGTTACTGTGCTTTTAAAAAATGTTTTTTTCCAAACAGGCAGCTTTGCAGTCTGGGGTGGTCTCTTTTCCATGATTGACTGTAGTATGGTGAAAATGAGGGGTAAAGAAGATCCATGGAACTCAATCACAAGTGGTGCCTTAACTGGAGCCATATTAGCCTCAAGAAGTAAGGAATTGCACTCTGGGGACAATGGGTATTGAAAAGCCCTTATATTTGAAACTATAAATAACAAATTTTTGTGTCCGTCAGATTTTAGTGTCAAGTATCAGGGTGTAGCCATGTTAGTCAGTATCCACAAAAACAACAAGGAGTCCCATGGCACCTTAAAGACTAACAGATTTATTTGAGCATAAGCTTTCGTGGATAAAAACTTCACTTCTTCAGATGCATGGAGAAGTGCATCTCCATGGATCTAAAGAGGTCAGGTTTTTACCCACGAAAGCTTATGCTCAAATAAATCTGTTAGTCTTTAAGGTGCCACTAGACATTTTAGTGTTAATCAAAAAGAACTTAATTTATCTTTTATGAAACTTTGGAATCCCGTATACTTAAAAAGCAATATTAACCCTTTTGTTTTCTATTTTTAAGAATATAGTATGTTGTAATTGTCTTGATTGTTTTATCAATAGTGGCATAATACATTCAAAACAGTTGTTATTTAAAGATCTTTTAACATGGTGGATTAGAGTTTACTTTTAAAGTTGCAATACGCCATTTAGGCCCAATTCAGGAGGTATTCTCTAAAATTCATGGGAATGAATACCTAAACCAAACCTAAACATGTTCTTAATGCTCTCCTGAAGAAGTAGAGCAGTTAGACCTTCTCAACAATGTTTTGTAGAGTGTATTAATGTTGACAATGCTGTGTAGTTGAAAGGGTTTTTTTTGGTCTTAATGGACATTCAAGATCTAATTCTGTGGATGACAAATTAAGCATGGATAGTATTTTACGTATAGTAAGTACATTTGTTTTTATAAATACCAATATTCTAAATAGTCTAATATTTCTTAATGGTAAAAATGATCTTTAATCTAGATAATAGTTGAGTTAAATATGTCCACGAATGACAGCGTGGACTCTCATCTATTAACTGCAGCACAGAATCTGGAGACTAGACACTTTTGTGAAAAGGAATGGACTTAAGCATGTGCTTGAGTTTTTTGCTTGGCCTCTGCCAATACTGTGAGGAAGCATTGTGTAGTGATTAAAGCACAGAACTAGGAGTCAAGGTTTGCCACTGATCATCTGTGAAACTTTGGGCAAAATATCTTCTCTTTGCCTTAATTTCTCCCTTTGTAAAATGAGGATAACACTACAGCACCTTGCACAATGGAGTCCAGGTCCATAACTAGGGCCTTTAGGCACTACTGCAATGCAAATAATAAACAGCACCTAACTCACTAGGGCATTGTGAAGTATTTTGAAGTCTGTGGATGAAAGGTGCTAGAGAAAGGCAAAGTAAAACGACTGTACTCTTAAACAGTACCAGTACTATCTTGTTTAATCAGGGACAGGTGTGTGTGGTAATTATATCTTTATTTGTAATGTTGATGGCTGACAAGTCTACTTCACAGTCTGATCACTGCAGTGGTGGTAATTGTATTAAAAGTGATGTATACATTTCAAAACCCTGTTTTGTAAAGGATTGGCAAAGTAATCTGTTTTGTATTCTGACATTTTAGATGGACCAGTTGCCATGGTTGGGTCAGCTGCTATGGGAGGAATACTTCTAGCTTTAATTGAAGGAGCTGGTATCCTGTTAACCAGATTTGCCTCCGCACAATTTCCAAATGGTATGTGTTCTACACTTCAGATTACAGTACCTCAAAATGTTTATAATGCTTTTTCAGAATACTAACACTCAAATACAACAGTTTGTGGGAAATGAAATGGCCAGATTCCTTTTTCAAGTATTGAAATACCAGGTTCATTTTCTAGGATTCTGTATTTCTTCATTCTATATTTGTCTTCCCAATGTATAGTTCAGTTATGCAGATTTTTAAAAAAATATATAATAGGTACTGTAGGAGTGAATTTGTCTGTTACACCCCTTCCTCCAACCTTATCACATTTGTACCTTTTTGTCCCCGTCTCGTCTTCCACATTAATTCACACACAGGCAGGTCAGCAGAACAGATCTCAGTCCATAAGTAAATTTTGTCGCAAATGTCCATGAGAATGGCTTTTGCCCTCCAGATAATAGTCTCTTCTATGATGCCATTGGTCAGTTTCATCAGGTCCTTGACTATACAAGAAATGCAGATTAATGTGGTAGACAGGAATGTGGTGTGGTGAAGCTGCAGAACAATCCCTGTATTTGGTTATATGGCGTACCTAAAGCACTGCCACGTGTTCATGGGTGAGAATAACCGTTCAATAGTTGTGCAGGCCTTGTAGTAAAACTTTGGCAAATCCGCATTCATTCTTGAGGGCACAAATTGGGAAAGTGGTTTTAGTCCTTACTATTGTGCTGCCCTTGCTTAGTCTGCTTGTGTTGCAGGGAGTCCCCTCTCTGCCAGTTTCTGGGAGGAATTGCTATGTGGTAGAAAGCCAACTTGTCACGCTCCAGCAGACCAGTGGAACTAGTAACGCAAGCAGGACAGCACAGTAGCATGAATTAAAAACTTTTCCAAATGCTGTATGAGGGGTGGGGAGTAGAGAAGTATCCATCCAAGCTCAGGAGGGAGCTAACTTTATGTCGGGACATGGTCGGCATTGAGGGTTTGAAGGCACAGTTATAGTGTTAGACTCTAGGAAGGATGTAGATCAGTTCTGGTGCTCCAAAGGGAGGAGAAGGAATCCGGTATTAATTCAAAGAGTAAATTGCAGCGGCATGTGGCAGGTGTCGCCATCCATTTTTGCTGCCTCAGGCCCAAATAGCACATCTATGCTGGTACGAAGTGTAAGTGTTGTTTAGTTAATAAGATGTGTGCATTTCCAAGAACATGAAGGATCATTGTCCCTGACAATTAACATGCAGTATCAAAACACAAATGAGATTAATTTGGGCATCTTTTCCTGTTTGGTTGCAGACTAACATAGACAACAGTTCATGTTCTAAAGGTCCTTTTCTACTGGAAGGGAGCTAGAAACAACCATTTTAAGTTAAAGTTTGGGAATGTAATGTGAGGACCCCAAATCTCTTGTTTCGGTGACTGTGGAGAACCACTTTCCCTGATTATATTCCGACATTTGCATGATATTCCAGACCACCTACTTTACACTTGGTCTCTGCCACCTCATCATTAGGAATATAGCATTCCTAGATACATTTGGCCTGTGTTCTTGTATTTGAATAATTTTCAGAGGAAGGACAGTGTAGTGTTTATAGCAGCTGGACTAGAAGTCTGTTCTCATTTCTTCCTCCGACTTACTGGGTCAAATCAGTTAAACTGATGGATATATGGATATAAAATAGATATAAACCGGACATCAGGAAGTTTAGACTTGAAATTAGATGAAGGTTTCTAACCATCAGAGGAGTGAAGTTCTGGAACAGCCTTCCAAGGAAAGAAGTGGGGGCAAAAGACACATCTGGCTTCAAGACTAAGCTTGATAAGTTTATTGAAGGGATGATATGATGGGATAGCCTAATTTTGGCAATTAATTGATCTTCAACTATTAACAGTAGATATGCCCAATGGCCTGTGATGGGATGTTAGATGGGGTGGGATCTGAGTTACTACAGAGAATTCTTTCCTGTGTGTCTGGCTGGTGAGTCTTGCCCACATGCTCAGAGTTTAGAAGATCGCCATATTTGGGGTCGGGAAGGAATTTTCCTCCAGGGCAGATTGGCAGAGGCCCTGGGGTTTTTTTGCCTTCTTCTGCATGGTGGGGCATGGGTCACTTGCTGGAGGATTCTCTGCACCTTGAAGTCTTTAAACCACGATTTGAGGACTTCAATAGCTCAGACATAGGTTAGGGGTTTGTTACAGGAGTGGGTGGGTGAGATTCTGTGGCCTGTGTTGTGCAGGAGGTCAGACTAGACAATGATAATGGTCCCTTCTGACCTTAAAGACTATGATTCTAACCGGTCTGCCTCAGTTGTCTCATCTGTAGAATGGGGATAATACTCATAGACAATTACGATGCTAAAAGTATTGGGGAAAGGACTATTAACCTTGAAATCTTCTCTCTGTAAAGTTTTCTTAGTCTCTCACTATTATAGTTGCAATCTCTTTAAAATAAAACGCAATCTGAGACTCTGGTTAACTGAGTTTGTAACCAGTTATTTACATAGCTGGCTGTAAACATGGCCTGGATCTGTTTAATACCTGGCTGGTATCCCTGGAAGTTACGATGATGATGCATGGTTGTGTTTCTACAACAAGGTTGTAAAGTTTTGCAGTGTAGACAGAACCTTCCTATCTGTGCCTGTGTAGTATTTAGTTAGGTTTGCCAATCTTCCTCCTTCCCAGTTCTCTGTGCAGTAGGACATCCTAGAGTGCACTGGTCTCTGTATTGCTGGTACCACTCTTTGTGCATGTCCTCTGAGCACTCTGTCTTCTAATGAGACAGTCTAGGGTAGCTGTCTAGATTTTTCCCAGAATGCACTGAGATAAACAGGCGAAAGTGTGGTAGCTGTTGTAAAAAAAAGATGATGTGTGGACATACCTGTGTTTGTTGTAACAAAGTCATAGGTACCTTTTGCAGCCTGGGTACAAAAACACTGTTGCACATGCAGTGTAGACTGGATCTAAGTAACAGGCCAACTTAAAAATAAAACACAATTGCTCCAGCTTGTTGTTATGGGGGAGCACAGACAGTGTTGTATAGATAAATCCCTGAGAAAATCACAGATTTTTTTTTTTTTTAAATCATGGCAGCATCATGGAGATATGTTTGTATTTCATGGGGTATTCATGGCAGCCAAATGACTTTTCTAGTAGCAGGGAGGCAGAAGTGAGCATCCCTGCTTCCACCTCCCTGCTGAGGCTGCGGCTGCTCATGGGAGTCAGCAGGCTGGTTCTGCCCTAGGGAGTTGGGAAAGAGGGCAGGGTGAGGGTGCCTCACCATATGGTGCTGTTCGGGCCAGCCTGGGGTAGCAGTTGGGTCCAGCTTGTCCTGCGCTCAGCTCTGGACCAGGCCAATTTCCTGCTTTCTGTTGGAGGGAGCAACACTGGAAACTTGGCTATTTAGGAGCCTCGACCTGCCCCACAGCAGCCGGGCCCAGGGGAGACACTGTAGCTCCAGCTGGTAAGGAATGAGACTGGGATCCATCCCTGCACCCCAATTCTCCTGGCTGCGGTCAGCCCTCTCACACACCTGCTTGTGTTCGAAGTGGCATTGACACTGGCTACAGTTGGTGGATGGCTCCTGCACACAGTTTCCCCTGGGACCACTGGGGTGGGCCAGGCTGGAGCTCTTAATTAGTGCATTATCAGTGCCACCCCCTCTGTCAGCTGCAGGGTCCTGGGCTGAATCTGGGCACAAAGAAAGCTGGACCACAATCCCTGCCCTGGGCTGGGCTGAACCAGCTGCACGACGTGGTGAGGCTGCCCCCCTTGTTCCTTGGGATAGGACTGGCCCACCCCCCGCCATCCTCCTCCAGGATGGGGCAAGGCCTGCTGACCTGCAGTGAGCAGCTGCAGCCTCAGTGTGGAGGAGCTAATTTCACGATTTCCATGCAGTCTATGAAGTCGTGACTTACATGGGCCTTCAGGTATAACATTAAGACACTAATTCCTGCTGACAGGGTATTTCAGCTTCGGTTCAGTGGCATTCTTATTAGTGTCTCCAGATTATCGCAGATTTTCCTCTTTGATCCAGAATTGTTTTGTAAATCATGTGTAAGTTATTAGTGAGGGAGTATTACCTGTTTACTGGTCTTATGCTGCATGTGCCTAAATAATAAAGCATGTGCATGTAGTGGTCAGAAGCCCTAGAAGTCAGGGGTCCATAGTAGTCTTCATTCAGCTCCACTGGCTAACTGATATTGGACACAGTGCCCAAGTCCCATTGAAAGTCATTGGGATGTAGGATCCTAAATTATGCAGGTAGTTCTGAAAATCTTTCCTTTCATCTCTCCATGCTGCATGTCCCGTCTGTAAAATGGGGCTGAAAACACATAACCGACCTTGCACGAGTGAGGCTTTATTTTAGTGGGTAAAGCTCTCTGATTTCATTGAATGAAAGAGATTGTGTACAAGGAAAGCCTTCTTTATTGGTCCTGCTAATTCAGAAAGGATTTATGTACACAAACAGTACTTTGAAAGTGTATCGTAATATTTTGTCATAAATCACTGTCCTACTAATCTTTCTTTTGCCTTTATTAATTGTTTTCTTCCCTTTTAACAGGCCCTCAATTTTCAGATGATCCCTCCCAGTTACAGCCCTCCGCATTTGGAGATTATAGGCAATATCAATGATTACATTGTTCTACTGTTTCATATTGTACATGTACAAAACCAAGATACAGTATGTTTTAAAACCTTACATTGGAAATGTATTGTAGACCTCTTTATGCAAACTATGGCAAGAGGACACTTAGCACTTTTTCATTGTAAAGATGCACAGGAGAACTTTTAGAAGATCATAAATATATTTATTCATCATAGGATTGCATTGTTGTAACGTTGATGTGTCTGACGTAACACGTTAATGCTTAAGATGAGGACCAAACAGAATGCTGTACTACTTTGGTTATGGAATGAAATGAACTTCCTTGGAGACTTCTCTGAAGTGTGGTATTAACAAGGCTGCGATTTAGTCATGGAATCCATGACTTCAGCTAGTGCTGCCTGGGAGCTGCAGGGTCCCCTGCCGCCCGTGGAGGCAGGGAGCTGCAGGAGCCCCGTGCCGCTCCCGGCCACCACAGGCGGCTTGGGAGATCCCCTGCAGCTCCCGGCCACAGCAGGCGGCACAGGGGACCCCTACCACTCCCCACTGCTGCAGCGGCAGGGGGAACCCCCAGAGCTTCTGGCCGCTGTGGGCAACTGATGGAAACCCTGGCCGCTCGGAGGTGCCCAGGCTCCCAGTTTTGACATGGATATTTTTAGTGAAAGTCAGGGACAGGTCATGGGCTTCTGTGAATTTTTCATTATTGCCCATGACCTGTCTGTGACTTTTACTAAAAATATCTGTGACAAAATCTTAGCCTTAGGTATTAACCATTATTTAACCATTAACAATAGAACTTATCCTCTCTCTTTACAATCAGTATCACATCCAGGTAACGTTACTGAGCGTTTCAGTTTATTTTAAGAAAATTCATTCATCTACATGAGTTCCAATCAACACTCCTGAGGTGAATTTTGGGGAGGATAGTGTGTGTTGAGCCAATAAAGAATAATACATTTTTGTAACACTCCTTTGTGCTGCATAAAGTATTTCTCTCCACACAAATTAAATCCCAATTGTAAGTAAAATACCTTGCTTATAAAGGGTGCCTGTTCCAGAATTGTCTTTCCTACAGGGCTACTCTGCCTTGATTCCTGACCCTACTCTTAGTATTACTGGTGCGAAAAGAACAGGACGACGTGTGGCACCTTAGAGACTAACCAGTTTATTAGAGCGTGAGCTTTCGTGAGCTACAGCTCACTTCATGGGATGCTGAAGCTCACGAAAGCTTATGCTCTAATAAATTGGTTAGTCTCTAAGGTGCCACAAGTCCTCCTGTTCTTTTTGCGGATACAGACTAACACGGCTGCTGCTCTGAAACCTGTCACTTATGTGTAATGCTCAAAATACTTCTGAAGGAAAGTTCTGTATTGATGGAAAGAGTGTCATTTGCATTAATAAAAAGTTACTGATTTCCTCAGGTGCAGTTGGAAAGAAGATATTTTTCTTGTTTTTGAACATGGGCCAGGAATTAATTAAAGCAGAACTTCAGTGATTTGCATGCTTTTATAATGCTCAAAAATGTTTGCCTTACTCCACTGCTCAAATATGTGATGGTAGTGTGTTACAGTATGAGACCTCAGGGACTTCATTGTTTTTACAAAACTGTTTTACCATACTAGTGTATGCAGTAGCATAATAAATAATTAAAATGACATTACATCTGTGTGTTGTGGGGGATGAGAGACTCAGTTTTGTGATGCAGTATCCTTGATTTTTGGAACTGTAGTTACTAATATTTGAAATGCAGTAGCTTGCACACTGGGTCTCTTTCTGACATTAATGGGAATTAATGAGGTTCAGCTGTAGCTTATAGCTCATTTGAGCAAGACAGTGTAAATTCATAATGTCCATAATGCATATTTTAAATCTTTCTTGCCTGTTTGTGAGCCTAAACCTTGAAATGGGTCATTTAAAAGGATTGGAACAAATGCTATACTCAAATAAGCACAGTGTGTTTAGTCAGCCATATCTTCTTTGTGGATTGGTACTAGTAAGTGATCATGCTTGCTTAAATAGAAAAAAGACTGTCAGATAAATTACATTGTATCTAAAGATGCTCATGTACAAAATGGAAAAAAAAATAGTTTATAATAAATATTGTTAGTGCAAATACCAAGTATGTAGAGTGTAAGATATATTCTGCATTTTAAAATCTCCTTCCTCTTTAACTGAGCTTTGTGATTATCAGTTGTGCAAAACACATTTATTTTTGATAAAGCAAGACACAAACTAAAGGTGGACTGAGAACTTATTCCCAAAGTACTGAGAAGTTTTTTGCTGACTGAGGCCATAGCAAAGATGGTTAACACCTCATGTACCTGCTCCTCACTGCCTCCTGACCGTAGGTGGTGGAGTATCACCATCCTTTCTGAGGCAGCATGGCTTCATTCCCATTGGGAACAATGATGGGTAATGGCCACCTTTGCAAAGGGCAGCTTGTGACCTCAGCCCCATTGTTAGAGGGCAGTTCTTAAGGAGTTCTCTGAAGATTTTATGTACTCACCTCTGCTGAAGGAGAAACTCCCAGCTATGAAGAAGGACCAAAATTAACCTTTCATCCTAAACACTTCATAAATAAACCCAACCAAACGGAAAATCCATTAGACTAGAGCTACTCAACAGGGAGAGGAGGAAAGTGGAGTGAGCTGTGCTGTGGGAGTGAGACAAAGCCACCAGATGACTTGGGCTCTAAAAGTTAACATTTTATAAAACTGACTTAAGGTTGATGTTTCTAATCTGAAATTATATCCCATGGTTGCATTCTCTTTGTGTCTCTTGGTTACTATTCCACCTATGAACAATTTAATAATTAAAATAAGAAACTCAATCCTAAACTGTTGAGTGGAGTTAAGGCAGAGTATATATCACTGTTTTTAAAAAGCCTTATAGGAATTCATGATTTTAAGGCTAGAGGGGACCACGGCGATCTTTTAGTCTGGCCTGCTGCATACAAAGAATTTCACCCTGTTATCTCTGCATCAGGCCTATAATTTCTGGTTGAGTGAGTGTATCATTTAGAAAGATTCAATCTTGATTTAAAATAGAAAAGGATAACTTTAAGACCATAGTTGACCACTACAGCCTATTTGAGAAGCCATGGTGTGTGTGGGGGGAGAAATGAGCCCCTGCTCCTGGAGGAGTGTGATAGGGGGATTGTTGCCCAGTCCTGATGAAAGACTTCAAGCGATAGGAAATCCACTACATCTTCTAATAATTTCTTGCAATGTTTAATTATCCTCACTGTTAAAAATTTGCTCCTTATTTCCAGCATGAATTTATTGACCTTCAGCTCAGGTCCTAGAGCAATGAGGCTGCAGCAGGTCATGCTTCGCTACAAGCCAGGTTCCCAGGGCTGCAGGCAGGCTTGTTGAGCCCATGCTGAAGCACGTGTAGCCACAGCTTCACTGCTGCAGGACCTGAGCTAGCTAGACAGACCCCAGCTAGCTTTAAAGCAGTCGCCCTGTGATTGCAGTGTAGACCTAGCCTTAGCCACAGCAATAAGCTCATGGTCAGTTCATTGTTCACAGTGACCTATAAGTCCTTTTAAGAATCACTTAAAGCTCCCCCATCCTGTACATGTGTCCTATATTCTTTGTTCCTAAATGTACGTTCTTGCATTTGGCCGTATTAAAACATCTTTTCTAGAAGAATCCAGCGTAAGTGATTCGGATTGCTCTGTAGAACTGACCTGTATCATCATTTACCCCTCCACCAATTTTTGTGATGCCAGCAAACATATACCAATAATAATTTTATATTTTGTTCCAGACCATTGATAAAGATATGGAATAATGTTGGACCAATAACTAATCCCTATGGGACCCACTTTAAAAGCCTCACCCAATGATTGATTCCCTACTAACATTTACTTTTTGCAATGTATCAGTCAGAATTTAATCTGTTTAATATGCACTAAATTGATTTGAATAGTCTGATTTTTTAATTGGCATGTGATGCAGTACTAAGTCAAATGCCTTACAGAAGACTGCAAACATTGTGTCTCCGTTACATTTATCTACCAAATTTGTAAATTCATCAAAAACAATGTTGGGGTGGTTTGACAAGTCCCATTTTGCATAAAACCGTGGTGCTTGGCATCAGTTATGCTGCCATCATTTACCGCTTTCCTGAAGGCATTCTGTATGATACGTTCCATGATTTCATTCAGGATTGATGTGAGGCTAACCAGCCTGTAATTATCTGGATTGTCCCATTTACCACTTTAACCAATCTCATGCCAATATTTTATCTTTTTCAGTCCTCTGGAACTTCCCTACTATTCCAAGATTTATTAAAAATCAACATTGGTGGTTCAGAGAACTTCTTGGCCAGTCTTTTCAAACTCTTGGGTGCAAGTTATCCAATCCTGCACAGTTAGGTATATTTGGGATGTGTAATTATCCCAGAAACAAGAATTATAAAGGGAGATTTCCAATTTAAGGTTAAATTTAAGACTCTAAATATGTTAAGGCAGGGAAATGCCCAGCTCAGACATGCCTACAACCTCCATTCTGCCCTGTGGTTGGGTATGTGTGTGTGTGATGTATACACACACCCTGGCTCTAACATGTCTTTGAGAGCAACCCCAATGGATCAAGGCTAAAGGTTCTTCAGCAGCAGCCCCCCCGTCTCTGAACAGATACAGGCCCTCCAGCAGCAGCACCTGGAGAGTGTCACACAGCTGCAAGTCTGTGGGGGGGCCAGTCCGAGACACCTTGGTGCTGGCTTTCAAGAGGATGACCCCACAGTAGTTCCTCATTGCTGTAACCAAGGGCCAGGGGGTCTTGCGTTGAGTCTGCAGCCACTTCTGAAGATTTGTGAAGCAGGGATGGTAGGTGTTCAGTGGTCATTTGGGGGTGGCCTCCACTTTTGATGGTAAAAGGGAACTTTTTGAAGGGGACTGCATCTCCCAGCTCCATGAATGACTCTGCGTCTGGGCCATGAGAGAAGAATCGGTGCTGCTGAGACATGCGCAGACAGGTAGTGCTTCTGGACTCTGCACAGGCTGTGGCAATGCTAGGAGCAGGGTGTGGCAGTGGCCTCTTATCCCACCCTAATGAATTGCTCTTGGAGCACCTGCTGGGCAGAGCAGGGTGGGAGTTTGCTGATGAGGGGACAAAGGTCAGGAAGCTGCTGAGCTGTCTCCACCACCCCATGCATTCTTAGATATTTGCTTTTCCCAGCTGAGTATATCAGTCGCTCTGGAGGCCCCCTCTCCATGCAGAGAATCCCTCCCCATGCTCAGCCCATCTCACCCTGCTGAGGTAAACACCCAGAGTGGTCCCATTTCTGCCAGTAGGACTCAGTTGCCCTTCTGCCCACGCTAACTGAAGGCCCTGTGGACAGATGGACAGGGCAGCCCTGATGTTGAGCAGAGGCGAGGCCATGCTCTGGGGACACATACACGGCACGGCCTTCGCTGCAGAAAATGGAGGTGTCAATACACCCCTGCCACGTGCCCTGTGGGAAGCCCGCAGGCCACACCACTTGGGCATCATGCTACCAGGACTGGAGAGTAGCCGTGGAAGCACAGGAAAGCTAAACACGTGCAGAAAGAGCGCTAGCTTTAAGTGGGGAGAAGCAGGGGAGGGGGACTAGACAAATTCGTTGATACTTCTCAAGCAAGTGCCTGCTCCTGGTAGCTATAGCATAGACTGGCTGAGCTGCTCCTCCAGCCCAGTTACAGTAGGGCCAGACAAGTGCCCACTCTAGGCTACAGCGTGCAGCGGTGGCAGAGTGCCAAAAGCTGCCAGAATAGACACAGCCATAGGGCCGAGAGCAGTATGGGGAGGGGATCAGGGTTCACTGAAAGCTAGGGCCCAAGTGGCAAAGCGTCTTCCTTGCCTCCAGCAAAGAAGCTAGCTGGCCCATCGGCTAGGGCGGGGTTAGACCATGCCAAGGTGCAGCAGGGCAGGGCAGTTTTGCCCATAACCTGAGCCCTGCCTCTGGCAGAGGATGCTGGTCTAAGATACCCGTGCAAATTGGGGTGGGCACCAGGTGACCCTATAGCTTGGGCCGACAGAGGATAGGCCTGGCCCACAGCTTTGGGGAGCAAAGCAACTTGCGGGGCCTTGTAGATCGGGGCAGGAGGCCCCAGAAAAGTGTCTCCGGAGGAGAAGGGACAGAGTACAGCAGCAGCATGGGCGAACCACGGCTCCATCACCTGCGGGGGGGGCTGTGAGGACTGTGGGCTGGCAGACCACCACCCTCTGCACAGCGGGGAGGCAGCCCAGGGGAGTTGGGGGGGGGGGGGGGAACAGGGCCGCCTCTACAGTTTTTGCTGCAGCCGCGGACAACAAAAGGGAGAAGCTGCCGCCGAATTGCCGCGGCGGTGGAAATTCTGCCGCCCCTTTCTGACTGCCACCCCACGCACCTGCTTGGAACACTGGTGCCTGGAGCCGGCCCTGCGGGGGAAAGGAGGGGGGCGGGGGGCAGGGAGACACCCCCCTCCACTCTGGGAGTCACGTACCGTACCAGTGCTTCAGGGTAGGAGCCTTGTCTCATGACACCACCTGAACTGGCTGGTGTGGCTACACAAAGGCATTGCGTAACCCTGCATCTCCTCTGGGGAACTCAGTGGGGCGACACGGGGTGGCGCAGCCAGATGGACCATGGCCCTGCCCGCAGCGCTGTGGGGTAGGGGGGACATGCTGCACTAGCCTCAAGGTAGGTGCCCCATGTGCAGAGCAGCACTGGGAGAGGCTGTGACTCAGGTAAGCCCAGGCTGCCCCATGGTCTGGCTGGGGCCGGACTGGGGCTGTAATGCCCCCAGCCCACCTCTTGGGGCTAAGGTAAACAACACTTGCTCTCATGCCATGAAGAGGGATGACATAGGTATGCAGGAATGGCCAGATGGATCAGCCCCAAGGACCACCTAGCCCAGTAGCCTGTTGCTGCCCAAAGCTAGAACCAGCTACTTCAGAGGAAGGTGTTGGAAACCTGCTGTAGCAAACAGCGTATATTCTGCCGCATCCCGCCTCCCTCCCATGAAAATCTCTGTGTAATCCGATCAGTCCAAGGCCTGAAGCAGAATGTTTTAGCCCAGCGAAAACTTTATTTTTAAAGCAAACTATTCTAACACTTGTCGTTAGCCACATACATGCCCATGCTCC